AATATATACTTTGTGAATATTGTTTGATCTGTAATATGTTCTTATCGATAGCATATTAAGATAAAGTGTATGCTGCTTGTAAACGTACATAATTAAACTAGAAGATAAGCTGGTGATGATTGCCTACAACATTAATTTAATGAGAAGCTAGAGCAGGCAGCTCTAGAGACCGATGTATAATATGTTGCAGTAAAAAACGAGTGAATGTATACATTTTGAATTCAGTTATGTTGCAAAAAAAATTATTCCAACACAAAAGTAAAGAGTTTTAAAAAACCATGGAAAAAGATAAAAATGAGCAGTTAACCATAAATGGGATACAGATTTTTGAATATTTAAAAACTGAGGGGAAAAGGTCCATTTTCCCCCAAATTTTGAATATTCTAAAATCTGTATCTCGTTCACCGTTCCCAAGTTTTTCGTCAAACAACTTTTTCTATCTTAGAAAACAATCAGTTCTACAACATTATCAAAAAATGTTTTTCCTCCGGAGTCTGACTTTAAATATAACGATATGCTGACTTCATATTCATTCTTCGTTCACATTGTTTATTCCTCTCACTCCCAACTTACCTCTTGCCTAATCTCACCTATATTATATCACTATTCTTGTCTAACATTTCTTTGTTAGTGTCAGCTTCTTCTCACTATTATCTGACTTTTTTTTCTACCAACATTCACTCACCACAAAGGAAGAACAGTATTGTCCGAAAGCCCTGATTCAATTTATAGCTGCTTACTTATGTGTTTTTTTCTTTTTTTTTCATTTTTAGCTTTGTACAATTGTGTAAGTGCAAACAATTTGTGTATATAACGTTCCGCATTATACTTGTGTTCCTTGTTCCTGTGGACGTCCTTAAAGATGTTGCTATTATTGAATAATTGTTCGAGTTTATTTTATGTTAACATAATTATATTATGCCTAATTGTTAATATACTTTATTGGTGAGATTCCGTTTTTAACTTAATCCTATTCTCTCGGTGTGTGCATACAATCAATCTGTCATGTACCTTGATAAACTTTATAACCAAATGTACTAAATTTATATACATACCATTTTGCTGTATTCTGAAATTAATATATTATTTTGAAGTTAATTGCAGAAAACAAACAAGTTAATACCTATAACACTCTATATATCGTGGAGTCTGCACTAGGCCCTTTGTTTGGAATGACTTGTATGTTCACAATAGACTTTGTTAAGAATGTTGTCGTGATCTTAATTCTTATCAGTCATCGTAACTGTACTACTGTACCTAAAACAGTCTTATAATCTGTTTGACAGGTCGTTGAAAAATAATGAAGTGTCGTATGTTCATCCTCTGGCGTTTACATCTCTCATCAACCTTCTCGATTTGTAAGTCATCACTGCATTCTACAGTAATGTGTTTACATGCCATGTTTCGGTTCATTCGTTTCCACCGTGTGGACAATGACCTTTATTTGCACACTAGACCTACACACATACGTCATCTGTCTCTTTTTTATATAAGTTCAGGCTCTATTTTAAATATACAAGTCAGTATTAATTTAAGATATATATACAGTACACGAATTTGCGTAGCGAATTTAATTACTGAAGTCTTAAGTTAGATTTTTAGATATCTCTGAATATTAAATATCGACTGCGAAGTACTTTTTTATTTTCTAAAGGTCTACTGATCAATCTCAGTTAAGAGAGTATAATACATACTCCAAGTATTGAAATGCACGCCATCATGTTGGGATTCAATATTTCGACATTAATTATGTCATCATCAAGTATTCATGATTCTTTATTTCTCATCATAAAGCAATCACAACCTAAATGTATCTTAAAGACCGACAAAAATTAGTAAACAAAAGTATGTAGACAATCTATTAAAAGATAATAGATGTTTCTAAATTTTAGATGAACATATATAGACAGTGTTACATCAACTAAAAACTGTAAAAATATCTCAAACACAGTGCCGGCGGCAGCGTTTGAAATCTGGGCGGGCAAAGGTGAGAGGCAAGGTAAAATGTTAGGGAGAAATAATGTTTCTCCATAGCAGACCGGGGATACAATTACAATTTATAAAATCATATTAACGGGTAACGCTTCTATTTATGTGCCCGTTATTTTTATTTAAATGATCATTATATTTATTGCAAATGTAAAAAAGTTTGATAAATGCATCGTTTTTAATTGACCATTGGCCTTGAAATGACAGACAAAACGATGAGAACCTGCAAATAGTTGTGTTGGCCAATAATGTTCATTTTGCGGCAAAATATGGGAGTAACTCGGGGAATTGGAGAAAATTATCTAGGCGGGGGTGGGGGAATTCTCCCTTGCCCCATAGCGCAGCAACTGATCAACATCTCTTAATTAGAGCTTTTTTTTTCCTATTTTTTTTTATCCATAGCTGCATATTAGTTAGAAAATAACTCTTGGTACTATGAAAACTATCACTATCTTGCGTAAACTAAACATTCCTTACCATGCCTAATATGGTATCTGTAACTGATTTCAATAACAACTTGATATGTTGAATTTTTGAGTACAGTACTTCAACTTGTATTCGTCTACACTTTATCCTGATGATGATGATTTATTATGATGACATAATTAATGTCGAAATATTGAATCCCAACACGATGGCGTGTATTTCAATACTTGGAGTATGTATTATGCTTTCTTATCTGAGATTAATCAGTGGACCTTTCGGTCTACACTTTATCGTCTCTAATAACTAAATATATTGGATCAGTAAAAATGGACCAGTGTGTAACATTTTTATGACTTATGCTGGGCACTCACTGTGCCCAACAGTCATTGGCCGACGCGATTCTATAGAGAACGCATCGCCATGCGCGATGCACGCATCCGTTCAGCCTGCCAAAGGCAATCAGCAAGCGGCGTCGCGTCGTCTACCACTCACAGGGAGCGGAGTTGGATTCGTCCTACGACGGCCGTACGACGCATTGAGTGGCCGGCCTAACAATATGCATGTATGCATATCGTTGAACTTCACCTGATGATGCCCCAAAACTCGTGAATAAAACTATCTATAAAAGTGCTATAGAAAGTGATTCCTTATTATTGGAACTTGTTTCCATATTAGGGCCACCAGGAAATTTATGAAGAAAATACTAAGCATATGAATGTCTGCACTTGCATTAATGTTTGAATATGGTGTATTCTAACTTAAAATTTCACAAATTGCAGAAACCTGGTAACTGTTATTCAACCATTTGATATTGATAAAAGAATGATTAAGGATTGTATTTCAGTTCGCCCTACAATTCGAGACCATATTTGGGATCAGTAGAAATTACGGAGTGGTGTTTTTTTTCTGCGGAGTTTGGTCACCAATTAGAGGGTTAGCTTTCTGTTAAAAGATTGGTCAACTAATCAATCAATCAATCAATCATTTATATAGCGCCAATATCCATAGTGCAAGGCAAAATGTTCAGTGGTGCTCAGAATATGCGAACTAGAAGAGGTGTAATTTCGATCTTTTCTTTAAAATTTGTATATTGTGGAAATAATTTAATGTTCTATAATTCAGGTGCAGCGCTGGAAAATGATAAGCGACCGAAAAAATGGAGTTTCCATTTTGGCACGTTGGAAAAGACGTTTATATGAAAACTTCAAGTTACGAGAATGAGTTTTGTAGTGAATTAGGTCGGAGAGATATGATTAGAGCAAGAATAGGCATGGCGAAGACGGCGTATGAAAAGAATCAATCGCTATTTACTCGTGGTCTTTGTCTTCAATTGAAAAGGAGATTGGTTCGGTTGGTAGTCAGGAGTGCATTGCTATATGTATCAGATACATGGACTTTAAGAAAGGCTGACAGAAAAGGATAGATACATGTGAGATGTGATTGTGGAAAAGATGTGGAATGGACAGGGTTAGTAACAAGGATGTTTTAGAAAGAGTTGTTGAAACACATCTAAATGTAGCAAATCCAATCAAGCAAAAGAAAAAGAGATGGATCGGTCACATATCGCAGCACAACAGTCTTCTGAAGGATGTAATAGAAGGTAGTGTAGAATTAAAAAGACCAAGAGGAGAAGGACACGAATAATCCTGCGTGATGATATCAGGAATGGAAGTTACAAAAAGCTGAAGAGGGATGCAGAGGATCGAGAATACTGTAATAGAACTTCTTTGGGGATATGCCTTTTTGCAGAACACTATTTACTTATTAACCTTTAAAAACTGGTCTCGAACTACAGAGGTATCGGAATTAGAGGGGTCATTATGTCAATGTACTATGAACCATTCCGCCATTTAATCCAGATTCCGAATGTTATTCCATGCTGAACAGTCCGATAAATGCTGAACATATTATAGTTTAGAGATACATTTTCGATTATAATAGGATATGACATAGGTCTACAGCATAGTTTAAAAACATAGTGGTTGATAATGAAAGGTGTGACACAGGAGAGCGGTGCGTCAAAACGTGTGGCTTTGTCAATAATTATCATTTCCATTACTAAACAATATTCCAAAATGACGGTAACAATCTAATCTACCTCATGTTGCCAACTTCTGTAAACCAGGGTGTATTATTATTAATAATAATAATAATAATAATAATAATAATAATAATAATAATAATAATAATAATAGTTCATATTATCTATAGTAGGCCTACAAAGTAATAAGGATGTCTTGATATTGTAACAGAAGAAACACATTTTGAAATATCAGTCACATTGTCAGTGATTGGGAAGATTGTCGAAGGATGTATGTGTAAATATTGCAATAGCACATCTCTTGATGGTAGGCTGTAAAAATCACAATTTTTATTAAGTTGAAGTAAGGGTAATTGAAAAGTATTATCAAAGCATAGCAGAGAGAATCATGATAAATATGTAGTTTTGTGGCAAATCTTTGACTTGCCTGTGTGGTATTAGATTGAATTACGTATCAGTAGGCGACGTCATTATGACCATATATAAGCATATCACACAATATTTTACATAAAACCTCATAGATTGCAGCGATTTGAATGTCGGACTATTGGACCGCTAAGCCCCGCCCCTTGGATATTGTTGCTAAGACGACAGTGTTAAAACATAGGCCTACCCGAAAACGTGTGTTTGTGAGACGCGCGCGTATTCCTAGCGCTGTTCTCATTAGTCAGTTGTTAAGTTTAATTGGCACTCCGGAAAGGTCTATTAGATAGATTTAACAGATAATTTTAACAAACCTTTGTATGCCTAATGAAGATAACTTTTGTCCTATTTGACAGCATTCATGGACGGACATACCCCTTATTTGATACGACTTGAGCTTTGATATACAACAATGCACTGTTAAAACTACGAGAGAGGTTAACAAATATATGCCTAGATATGGTCATTATGACATCACTATATGACCATATATAGGCACATCATGACTTGATAGTGGGAACAGAGCATGTGTGTTAAAATAAATAAAGATAGATTCAGTGTGTATTCAGGTGTGTGTTTCTTTTAGTAAGAAAAACATTCTGCATTATTCCGTTTTTGATTTAAAAATATTCCATCTATATTGAGCATTTACATCTAAATTTATACGATTTCAAATTTCCATTAATTTTTCATTCTTTGTCTTATGTGTAATATACAATTTTGGTTTGTTTTTCTTTGAAGGGATTTATGTGGAAACAAGATCAGCGAGTTGTCACCAATGCAATTCAAAAACTTGACGAAACTCGATCGTTTGTAAGTAAACCATTAAAGCCATAACAGTATCGCGCTTTATATTTTTAATTTGTATTTACTTTGATATATTTATTTTTACAGGGATTGTTAATTTTGTATGTTTTTCTTTCAAAATATGAATGATAACAAATCTCGTCAAATATATTATATAAATATTATAAAAGCAATTGCCGTTTCTACTATTTCTTTCTCCATAGACTCATAGATTATTGGTTTTTATTCAATTTAAGTAGGCCTAGATGTGTAATCAATAGGCCCTGTTTGTAAATTATCAAAATCAAATTAAATCAGGGTCTAATTGGAAAGTAATAACTCATTTTAAAGTTTAAATTTAACTATATTTCAACGGGGGTCAATTGGAAGGTATATCTCTGAGCAAATCTTATATTTTACACACACACACACACACAAGATGTGTATAAGAGACAGGGACAGGGTTAGTAACAAGGATGTTTTAGAAAGAGTTGTTGAAACACATCTAAATGTAGCAAATCCAATCAAGCTGACCTATTTGTGGCAATCTGACCAGGTCAAAAATGGTATGATTGTATTCCTTGACCATATAAAAATAGTTTCAGACATTCGAATTATAATTCCAAGTGGTTTAGAAGCGGAGATATAGATAAACATAGGTTTTATTAGGCGGCCATTTTGAAATCCAAGATGGCCGCCATAATGACCTCGGATATGGTGGTTCCTACCAAAAATTGAATGCTATGACCATAAGGAGCATGTAAAAAAAATTTGGTGCTTTTGTCCGGAACGTCCACATCCATCTGCTAAGCTGCCGGACTATACCTTCGGTATTGTGAAATGAATGCATAGAAATATTATACCTGGACGATATAATTATAGCATGATTTCACTGAGTTGTTAATAGAACATTTTATTTGCATTTGCATTGATATTGTTTTTCATTAATTTAATTTCAAATACAATGAAATGAAATACGATACAAAAAAGGGGCATCGTTAAGTATGTTATACAAAATGGACAAAGAAAAACGTGCATGTGTATGATTAACTAACATGATTAGGCCTAGTAGAGAATTTCTACTAGTGCACTCACGTCACCAAAAGAAATGATTGTAGGAACTATACAAAAATGAATGTAGGCCTATGCATCGTCATCATATTTGCAATTTAACAACATATCGTGTATTGTCAATAGCACAGTCACTGTAAACTTCATAATTATTATCCATGTTGCACGTGATGAAGCTGGTTAATTATGAAGGGTTGGCAATACAGACATATTGCACCAACGTTCTAATCGTCTCATCCAAAAGATTATGCGCTATTAAAACTTGCATTGCCCTCCGGCTGAAACACGTGCAGTAAAGAGCAGAGACATGAATTAAACCGGTACCAGGAGATATCCAGGGTTCAACGCATACACTATGAATACCACCAGTTTAACCGACTGAGCTAAGCTAAATTAATTGTTTTTTCTCATCACATACGATTCTTTAGGGACAATTCTCACTCAGTACTCCATATTTATTACAATACACAAGATTCATTCTTTAATTCATTTATAACAACAAAGAAATAGCATCCGAGTATTGCTTTCCTACGATAGATATTCACATTATTAATGGTTGTTTTGTGTTTTATCTTTCCTATTAACTTGTCCACACCGGTCATTACTCACAACATAATATAACTACAATAATACATTTGAGATAGACGTAGTCTCATTACTAATACTGTACGTGTTCTCATCAACGCCCGCTCAGCATTCAGATGAGTTCATGCGCGGAATCCCAAGCGACGTACACAACAAGGTGATCTCCGTACCTTTGTTTAAATGAAAATTAAGAAGCGTCTGTAGCAATGTAAAACCCACCTAACGCAATGCCGCTGCCTTTCAGCTGTTCTCAAACATGAGTTATCTGGTGGCAGCGGGCTTTTCATACTGGTTTCCACCAAAAGCTATTTTTCGCGTCTGCCACCATGAACTGTGCAATGAACCTTCCCATGTTTATCCCAAGCGTGGTACTGACATTTTGTAATCTAAAGAAATTATTTAATTTATTTATGTTAGTGAAACTAAAATACTCCAATATTTAATTACCTTGAATGCTTTTTTTTTTCATGATTGATGAATCATTATTGTCGAAGTTGGCAAAGCGCCTGAAACTCTGTTAAATCAGGAGAAAACTAATTAATTTGTACGTGCCTGTCACTGCATTATGTTTTATTTTAATTAATAAATTTAGGTGCTGAATGCGTGTCTGTTTTGGATTAATGAGAGAGAGAGTGGGGTGGGGGTGGAGTGATATAATAGTATTTAATATTAAATTTACAGGTTGATAGATAAGGGTCTTGCTTTTACACCCTTCAAGGATTGGTTAACCCGAAAGTAGCCTCATCTCTTTTACACTAGCATCTATTATAATTATTACATTATACCTGAAAGCCCTTTCTTTAATCATTTCATTTTTATCCATTATGCATTTCTGATGGAGTTCCAGGCTACTGAAGCATTTGAATCTGAGACCTAGCAATTGATGCGTATTCTTGCATTTTGAGTTTCTGCTAACTTTTATTTAGATAACATCTAATAAATCCTAATGTTTTTCTGCTTGATTGCCATAGTGTGTAGGGTTCCCAACTTAGATATTTATGAATTTGGATACCAAGACATACGTCTTTGTAACAGTAGGCCAAATTAACATCTCCCTTTCCATTATAATCGTTTATTATCGAGTTTTGTTTTTGGTTTACTCTTAAACATTAATTCACATTAAAATGGCATCTTCCAATTTCAAGACCATTGCTCTAGTATAAGGTGGAATACGCATCTTAATGGGAATCAATAGTTTTGTACAATACATTTATTGTAGATGACCTAATGTTAATTTTATAATAATAATAATAACTTTATTCATTCCACCACCTATGGTACAATGCCTAAAACAAGAAGGCAATGCGTTTAAGCAGGTCCGGTAGCTAACTTAAATTATTGCCTTAAATAAACATCAAACGGATACAAACAGATATGACATGGAGAGGATTATTCGAGGAGCTGAGCGTTTTTGTTATTATAACTACTTGTTGACTTTTTGTTTGTCAACCACTTAGATATCCATGTGTAAGTATTATATTTTTATGCCATAAATTCTATTTTACGCAATAGTGTTTGATGTGCAACCTAAATCCGCACAAAAATTCAGAATGAGAAAAAATGAGAAGGAGCTAAACAGAGAAAGGAAGAGCGTTCCCATGGTGAATATTAATTTCAGATTAAACTCATCCGTGTTATGAAAAGTAAGACGTGAGGAAAGTAATTTTAAGATATTATATCGAAAAGCGATCTCTTAAAAAAATATTCTTTACCAATTTTATTTTTTTACAGATATTTTTCATCCTTTCAATACTGTTCGTATGCGCCGCATGTCCGAAATTGTAACCCGAAGACGGACGGAATTTCTTCCATATATAACTTGTTGGAGAGCACGGTTCTTCGTGTGTCCGTTTGGACAATTGCCACGATGACTTTCATCGGTAACTTTGGCGTCTTCATTAGCCGTCTGCTGATGAAAGCAGAGCATAGAGTCTATTCATTGTTCATTATGAACCTTTGTGGTAAGTAGTAGCGATTGTGAAGGGAACACAGACTCATGTTGTGGGTTCTCTTTTTCTTGTTTTAAATAAGAAACCGTTGCAGAAAAAAAAGATTGATTTTAGGAAATCCATGTTGCTTCTTCGTGTGCACACGAAACGAAATAAGGATTTGAGGGTCTATTCATAAAAGACCTGACCGACTGAGTGGACTGAATGCCTAAGAAACTGACTGACTCTTGGCTGAATTGTCAGATTGAGAACTGATTGACGATGAACTGGCTTGTCTGTTTGTCTAGCATACCGACTGACTGACTGATTGACTCTTGTCAAGCTATCTGTCGTTATGTGTCTCTCTGTCTTTCTGACTCGACTAACCAACCCCAACCGAGTTATTTATTTATTTATTTGTATGTTAATTGAGTGATTGGTTGGTTGGTTCATTGTATTAATAGTAGAAGTGAGGATAATGATGATGATGTTGATGATGATGATGATTAAGCACGTTAGAGCCTAATTTCGTTTTTTATGTAAATGACACTATAATATTTGGTAAATAATTACACAAAACAAAATACCGCTTTGACTTATCGGTAACTATAGTCAACTATAATAGTTATAGAATATATTCAATTATCAGGTACCGATATACTACAATTTAAATATTGCTCTTGTTATTCTTCCAGCCGCTGATTTTCTTATGTCAATTTACTTGTTCACAATTGCCGCACAAGATTACAGGTTCCGTGATGTATACAACCAAAATGCGCGTCAATGGGTCGAGAGTACGGGTTGCAAGATGTCTGGTTTTCTAGCAATGGTTTCAAGTGAGGTGTCTGTACTTCTTCTAGCGCTCATCTCAGTGGAACGCTTCCTGTGCATCGTTTTCCCGTATGAATTTCACCGCCTGAAGGTAAAAGAGGCCGCAGTGATCATCTCAAGTATATGGGCCGTTGGCATATTGATCGCCTGGATTCCTTTGCTGGCTGAGGGATATTTTGGAAACTTCTACGGCACCAACGGGGTTTGTTTTCCGCTGCATATTCACGGTCCTCGAATAAAAGGCTGGGAATATTCAGTGGCTATTTTCCTTGGAATGAACCTCCTGGCACTTATATTAATCATCGTTTCATACATTGGTGAGATATTTTTCATTGTAAACAGAGTTTAGGCTCGAATGACAATAATGATAACGACGTATTCCTTTTCCGTTATCGTTTTCGTAAGGTTTGCGAAATCTCCTAAATATCTTAAACTAACACATTAACTTTATAAAACATGTGCGTATGTTGCATTTTGATTCGTTTTAAATACTGAAAATCTTGATAAATATTAATCTTACATTTTCTAGGTATGTTCATTAGCATTCGTACTACGCGAAAGGCGGCCGTACAGATAGGGTACAAAGGCGATATGACTTATGCCCGCCGCTTCTTTTTCATAGTTCTCACTGACTCATTGTGCTGGATACCTATTATAATACTAAAAGTAATATCACTTTGCAATATTCCTATAGGAGGTAGGTAGAATCAGTTATGTATAAAGCCCTATCCAGACTATAAATTTTATTTGACAAATCATGTGACATGCCTAAATATGGTCATGATGACATCACACAATGACCATATATTGTCACATCAGCACTATATATGGGCATACAACAGTTTTTTGTTTTTTTTTTCAAATAACATTTGATAATCTAGACAGAGCTTTAGATTAATTTCGAATTAAACACACGTCTGTAAATGGGCCTAAAATTATGAATGTCCTTATCATATCACGTGTCTTGATTTGATATTAATTCTCTTAATAGACAACCTATATGCCTGGATTGTTATATTCGTTCTGCCATTAAACAGCGCCCTCAATCCAATATTGTATACGCTATCGACCACCACTTTCTCACAATGGTTTTTGAAGCTGTTGAAGATCCATAAACAAGTGTCACACAATTATGTAACGTACAGTCCGCAACGAACTGCACGTAGAAGTAAGTAGGCCTGATTAAATAACTTATTTATGTAATGTCACAATGTAGCATAAAATGAGGATGGTGGGTGCTGATGGGGGGGGGGGGGGTGTGGTGGTGGTGGTGATGATGACGATGACGATGATGGGTAGTGGTCATGACCGTGATGATGATTAGACTGATGATGATAATAATAATGGTGGCGATGATGACGATGATGATAATGGCGATGACGTGGATAATGACGATGATGATGATTAAGACGATGGTGGTGATGATCGATGCAGATAAGATGATGATGAATGCAACAACAATGAGATTTTTATGTTTGATTAATATTTGATTAACAATGTTGATTATGACGGTGATGATGATAATGATGCAGATGAGATTATTATTATTATTATTATTATTATTATTATTATTATTATTATTATTAATATTATTATTATTATTATGGTGATGAAGAGGAAGATAACGATAATGATGAGGAAAACAACAACAATGTGTGTTATACGTACATTATTACAATTATGTTATCTGGTTATACAAGTTTCTGTTGGTTTACCGGTATTAGATATCTTAAGTCACTTGAAAATCCACCTGTTAATTGTTTCTGTTTTATTTCAGAATCAGGCATTGCCGAGGAGAATGGTAGTACGGACGGGATGATGTCTTACGCAAACAGACCTTCTTTGCAGACTAACTGTAGTGACTTGTTATCCACTGCTATTTCAGAGGATGCCGCCGAAGATGTACGCAATAATACACAATACAAGGCACAGCATAGCGATAATGAACAGCCCGCCTCAACCTATTTCGTTACATGTGTTTGAAAGGTTCTGGAAAGTTGTCTCTTCTTCATCTTTTTTGGTTTCTTTTTATTCAATTGGCCATCTGTTGAAAGTGCGTAGAGACCTAGTATTATAAGCTATACAAGTTTACAACCATTACCGGAGTTACAAAAATGGACCAGTCAAACTTTACCACTAGGCAATTAGGAGAGATCCATGAATACAACAACAAAGGGGCATGGCTTCATGGCTTGGCGCGGAACAGTCCATATAGCGAATCAATATAGCTCTGGAAACAAATAAACACTGAGACACCTAAACGAGTGCTGATACTTTTGAACATTTAGAGTTATTAATAATAATAATACATGTAGTCAATATTGTTGTAAATACGCTATTGCGCCATATTTATATCCCGCATATATTGACACGAACTACATTTCTGCAAATTATGTGCATTCCAACAGAGGAGGAATGGTGTAAACAGGCGTTAGTTTAAAGACATGTTAATATTTGTTGATATGATTTGACTTTCAATGTGGGCATTTGCAGAGACTACGAAATGGCTACTTGACTTCTAAGAATCAAGAAAGTAAAAATTTCTGTATTGCAAAAAGATTTTACATTATGTTTGCTTATGTAATTTTACTTCAAATGCTCATATACAATGTGATATTGAAATATATATTATCATTAAAGGTTGATGCTACGAAATACAGTAGCTCTTTGACATTTAAGAAACAAATATAAACGCTGCCAACAGCCGGCTAAACAACATCATTTATTCACCGGAAACATATACACAATGAAATTGTCAAAGCACTCGTTAGAGTTAATGACTCAATCATAACTCTACGCTTTATTGCAATAACAATGATAAAATATATTGTATATCAGAATCAAGTAACATACGATATATATATAAATATATATATATATATATATATATATAAGACTATTTAAAATATGTAAAAATATGTCTTGCGACTTCGCATCGCATACGTAAAAATTAGATATTTTTGTACGTAAATTGAAAGCTAATGCAAGAGCAGAGTTTAATAGAATTTTTGTCAATATGATGCGGTAAGGTATGATACGATATGATGATGTATGATATGGTATGATATAATAAGAAATGAAATAATGTCCTATGATATGAAAGGATATGATATGATATTTTGATATATATATGATACGGTATATGATGTAATATGATTAGAGCAGCTTAGATCAGTCGGCTGAACTGGTGGTAGCCACTGTGTACGCGCTGAACTATCATGGAGATCTCTTGGTCCTTGCTTTAATTTCCATTGCTTCCCTTGCATATTAGCTGGAGGACTTAAATGCTTGAAATGCAAGTTATGATAGCACACCGTCATTCGGATGAGACGTTTAAGCTGTCCCTTGTGCATTAATAGCCCATGTGCTGTACAGTCTTCTGAAAATACAGGGGATCAATCACCACCAAAAGGACCCTAGGCCTGGAAATACGTGTTCTTCACACACGGCACCATAGAGTGCAGCTTTGATGTTGGAGAAGAATGTTATACCGGATTTGTATAGAATACGAATAGGGCTTTGAAATTCAAATGGCGAACACTTATGAAATTGTGAAACAAAGGTATATTCCATATATTTTTTTCTGACTATAAGACAGCAAGATATACCGGAAAATGTTACAAATATGTACAGGAAATGAGTATTGTAAAAGATTTATATATGAGGCGTATGCGTATAAAGCCTAGAGCATACGAACGGTAGTTTTCATCTAAGACATTGTCTCAGTTTGCTTTTTATCTAGGATGAAAATTCCAATTTGAAAAACACGTGTTTCTTTATACTATATATAAAAATGTATATATCAGATATAAACAAATATATATAGTATGATTATATATAAAAATTATATATAAATTGTATATATGTACATACTTTAAAAACGCTTAAAATGTATATACTATGTTCGGTATTACGCACGACGGTTTATCTTTTATCACAGATATATATTTATATAATTAGTGATAAGTAGCGCGCTATCAGTGAAGTGGTAGAAAAAAGAATTGTCGTCTGATGGTGATGTGTTGACGCATCGAAACATGTCATTTTATCCCCTGTCTCTTATACACATCTTAATTTTTTTGAGTAAATCAGCAATTAAGTAAATCAGTGACACTGACCACCGACAGCTAATAATAAACTGGCTTTCCTTTTATTTATTATATACGATGCAATAGTAATAATTTATATAATGCAATACACTAGTAAGTATTTATTGATGTCGTAAATTTACGTGCGATAAATATTTTTTTTTTGTTGTATTTTTGTATTATGGTTTTGTATCTATTTTATTATGTTGTAGTTTTCATGTATCAATTAAATTAAAGTTGAATACTGATAAAACTGATTATTATTTTTTTTTTCTCAAAGTGATTTATACTCTTGCAGCTCTCACTTAAAGTATTCATCAATTTTCATGAAAGGAGTAAACTTTAGTTTCCTTATAAACGACTAATTAAAAACCTGATTCCCATTAAGTAGCTTTAAGCGACGCTGATTGGTGTACTTAGTGTAACGATTGTTGTATCGTCAAAATAGCGACTTTAATGAAACATGCCATTTAATTTAAGCTACCATCAGAGAGAGTTCTATTCGGAGTTTTATGTTCTCTCGGACGTATGCTGGTGTTCTGTAGAACCTTAATCAATTTTTTTTTAAATAAACAAAGTGTGTTTACTAAAGTTGGTGATATATTTGAATTAAAGATTATAAGAATACCAATAATAAAATAAAAAAAAAAAAATAATAATAATAATAATAATAATAGTTGAGAAACTTAACGTCAGTCTTAGCTTTTCTTAATTATTTGTGAAAAAATGTCTAGTCTTCTGCATTCTTGTTTACAAACATCACTGTTGTGCAAATCATAATTGATGGAATCAAACGATCGACAAGAAACCAAAAGCAAAACAAATTTAAGAGCAATAAAACAAGACTTAATTAAAGTCACAGACATGTTTTTTTCTGTATCACACAGTTATCATCAGTGATCAAAATAAAACATAAAAAAGAACCAACACTACTTATGTACTATACGCAACGGTAGATTGAAATGCAGGTTGGCTTGAAATGTTTGACTCAACTCGTACCAAAAGTTACAACGTAGCAGATTATTCCATTACATGCATAGAGTAATGTTGTAATGCTGTACTTGTTTGTTGAGTGATGGTTCAGTCCATTTAATATGAAGCGCCTCTTTAATTTTAAGTTAGAAACTGCTTTTGTCCTGATCAAGGATTTTAAAGTTTTTTCTGTTAGAATTAGATTTGCACATAGGATTGCTGTTGACATGTTTGAGTATATTTAAATTTTTATCTGATACCAGGAGTTCCCTGAGACGTTTCCCAAATGTAGGTGGCATTACAGCACACACAATTCAATTTTATGTTGGATCTTAGGTCACTTTGTATCTTGTCTATGTTGTTTTTTCTACTTTGCCTGTATTCAATACAAGGTTTACAAGTATTATTTTTGTTATATTTTGTCGTCAATTTAGTTATTTTGTCCTTATTTATCTTAAAAATATGCCTAGGCCCTATGAATGGGAGTTTAAAATAAAATTCGTTCTCAAATGTTCGTTTGTTGCCGCCTTTTATGAAATGTTAGTGTTGACATAATTGTTTGGTACTCTAATCTATTAATTTCATTCAACAACAGCATTTTTTAATTTAAAATGTCCTTAAGATTTAGAATGTCTTTATGCATACCAGTTCTAAGCATTGATGATTTTGTAGATTATGTCTAGTAGTATCGACCTTAATCAATCTGAGTTTGTAACTGATCGGACAGAATCTCAGGAACACTATAATTAATCCAAATGTTTTCTGTACGTGGACTTTTAATTGTCCATTGTTTAGTCTTCGAATTAGTATTAGAATTTGTGTCAAAATGTATCATCAAACGTATCTGGTGTAAAATTCTACTTTAGGACAGTCATCTTTATTTAGTCATGGGTTTTCATTATGTCTCATGAATAAATTGGCGGGAACTGGTGCTAGTGGAGATCTCATGATCACTCCATCATTACATTCATGATTTGCACATAAACATTGATGCTTGTAAACAAGATTGCCACCCAATTCTACCTAATAGATCTGATAAATATCAGTTTCGGTAACATCATCATTCATGATACCGTCACCAAACCTGATTCGGGCATTCTGATCAGATGACTCACCAGTATAGAAGTGTATTAGCATTTTACTTGTCACCGAAACTGATCACTTAGGTAGAATCGGCTGAGATTGCAAATGACTGATGGAACAACTTCAAAAACAATTCAGAAAAAAAAAAAAGCTGAAGCAGACGTTAATTTTCTCAACAATTGTAAAATCTTCAGTATATTTCCTAAATTTAACAATAAAAATAATAACAATAACAATATAACCAATAATAAAATAAATAAAATTATAAAACAATAACGATAGCAATAACAATAATTATTATGATTAGTATAATAACAGTAATGATAATGATGATGGTAACGATAATGATAAGGAGGAAGTTGATAATAATGATGATGATCATCATTATGTATATTATGATGATGATAGTGACGACAATGAGGATTGATCATAAGAATGATTATGATGAAGTTTGAAATTGAAACATTATAAATAGAAAAACAGCCGAATTTCCATATGAATATGATATGTTTAGTTTTCAGAATGCGTTATGAATTACATAGAAAAGGTAGTATATGGTATACTTTCCTATTTGGAAATCAAGTTGGTATTTGATATTTTTTTTAACTGAATAGTAGACCTATTCAAGCAAAGTTGACTGTCAAACGGGGGTGGCGCTAGCGGCGGGGAGAGCTGACTCCCCTTCCGAGAAAAACCATAATTTCGTTGGGGAGAAAACAAAAATGGTATGTATTCTCTATACGTTAGTTGACTTTAAAGTCGATTATATAAGCATTTGAAACCCCTAAATGGTCACCATTTCAGGACCAATTTCAAAGAATTTTAAGCGACGCCCGAACACGCCCACTTTGCTTATGTCGGGGAAATCGTCCTCTCTTCTGTCGGAAACATCGGACCGCTGTTAGGCAAATCCGCCATCCCTGTCAACGGTACTTCCCCATTAATTGATACATTTATAGATTACCAATTTCAGAGCCGGGGCTGCCCCCACCCCTACATGGCGGTGGACTAAGTGGGTTAAAATTCTAAAAAGGATCATGATCGTTGGAATAGGAATTTAGTTCAGCATTCTCAATTTTTTCACCCCAACTAGCCAGCCCGACACCAGTCTACATCCCTGACTACAACACATTTTCAGGATCATGTAGGCCTAGGCCTAGTCCCGGTTAGTTTATGTTTGTGAAAAAAATATAAAATAACACCAACATTATATTTTAATAGTTCAACATTGATTTTAAATACGCCAATTGAAAAAAAAAATTACAATTTACTGTTTACACGATTATGTAACCAGTTGTCATGCTTTTCGATCCCTATATTTCATTATCGTATCAGTCGATTATTAAATCTAACAAATATTTACATTACAACTCTTTTGTAGTTTAGCTATTCTTTTATTTCTTATATTATTGGAGGCGAAAATACTGGATGCGATGACTATGTGCAATGGCAGTTACTCCGGCACTGCATGGTCCACGTGAGAGTCGGCTCTGGGGGCTCTTTCCTTGTTTTTTGCGCTGCCACGTGCCATCGCCGCATTCGGTTGATTTCGGCCTCTCGCGGCTGATTTTGCTGGACGTGATGGGTTGTCTCCGCATATTTTAAGGTCAAACAATTTCATTTATTAAGTCTTGTCCAGACTATCAAATTTTCTTTGACAAAAAACTGTTGTACCCCCATATATAGTCATGATGTACCGTACCTATTTATGGTCATGATGTGAAGTCACCATGACCATATTTAGGCATGTCACATGTTTTTGTCAAATGAATTTGTATAGTCGGGACAGGGGAGTTAGGGGTAGCGAAGGGGCGCCCCCCGACTAAAGAAGATTTCCGAATCACAAGAAAATATGCACGGTTCTCGCTTTGTAATTATTTCACAAAACTGGCTATATCATTCGATCAAAAATCTTATATATAAGTGTTATCCTTTGGAATTTTGACCATCGTGACTAAACAATGAACAAAAGGTAAAATCTTCCAAAAGGATATTGATTACTATAGTACAAAAAAGAGCTTTATTAACAACCACTTAAACATGGCAAAGAGAGCAAATTAGTGGAAGGCGGCTACGTCATAAGACGGAATATTATAATATACCAACAGGTGGTATCCTAATCAACAGAGGCGTACGATTAATTTGCATAACTACCTGCATATAAAACGTTTGTGGCAACTGTTGAGTTTCGCACTGGTCAGTTAACTTGCCGGACCGCCATTTTTAGGATTGTTGCTGGATTTAATCAAACAAATCAGGTAATTTTAAAACTTCCTTTTAGCTAGCAAGAAGCACAAGCAAATCACACATGTTCTTGGTGACCAAGTAGGTCACAATTTGTGACAAACGAATTGGTTTTTTTCCCCAAATACTCAAATCATAAATAGATTACCACAGGCTTGACAATACACCACGGTGTATTTTGACAGGAATATAACAAGAGACACTCGTACATTCTAATTAGTCCCTTTGATGCAATTCTTCGCTACCAATTTCTTCTAGTCGGCGTACCTTGTTAAGTTTATATTTTCATCCCTAAACCTTTGAGAAAGTTACTGATTGTTAATTGTTCATATAGTTCATATGAAGGGAAAGAATACTTATAATCGGGCGACTAAGCGGATTCCGTGCCTTAAGCCTTGTTTTCATAAAAATCGCAACTTGGCAAGTTAATAACCACAAAAACTATTCGAAGGTTTTTAACTGATGCAGCTGCCATCTATGCCTTAATTACATCTCGGCTGGACTATTGCAATGTTACTTTATGGTCATCTCAAAGGTATACAAGGAAGCTGCAACTTCTCTTGCTCTTGAATACGGCTGCACGTCTCGTGTCCGGAGTTTCTAGATTTGAGCATACAACACCCACTCTTCGTCGCCTGCACTGGTTACCTGTTAAGCAACGCATCTCCATTTAAATTGTTACTTTTCACATATAAATCATCAAATAATATATCGCCCTCATACATATCCATCCTGATTAAACTTCGCTCCATAAGTTCTAGAGTTCTCAGATCCACATCAAAATTATTCGTCCCTCCATGTCGTACATAAACGTTGCTGCTCCCAAGTTGAGGAATAGCTTACCCTCCTTACCTTCTGTTGAGATCTTTAAGAATCGTCTTAAGACTCATCTTATTCGTTTCTTTAATTTGCACATTTTATTTGCTTCCCAAATCCCATTTCACCGGCCATTCATTATTAATCTTGTGCAACTTTCCGCGAACAAGCAATTTTGGACAAATTGTGATAAATTGAAAGTTATTTATTTATAGTTAGATTTAAGGTATGTGCAAGTTATTGAAACTGTTTTTATTATTACTATTGTTGCTGCTGTTGCTGCTGTTGCTGCTGTTGCTGCTGTTGCTGCTGTTGCTGCTGTTGCTGCTGCTGCTGCTGCTGCTGTTGCTGCTGCTGTTGCTGTTGCTGTTGCGGTTTTATTTTATTATTATTTTATTATTATTATTATTTTATTATTATTTTATTATTATTTTATTATTATTATTTTATTATTATTTTATTATTTATTTTATTATATACTTTAAATATTAACGTGTAAAAATGTAAGAAATGTTTGTCTAACATCAAATTAATGATCTTGAAACAATAAATAAAATAATAATCTATTAATCATTTAAAATTATAACATAATTTTAATAATTTTCTCAATTTTCTTTTTTTTTGTATTCTGCAATTTTAATGTAGTTCTCCTATTTAGTTTAATGTTGTTGATGTTATTGATGTACGTTATTACGTAATTCGTAATTCAGTCTTTTGGCTGCCATGTTTTGTTCATGAATTTTATAATTTTTTAAATAAAATACCATTATATATTATAATGTAATTTAATTTGATCAAGATTGAAAGTTTTCAAAGTTGATTTACATTTTATTTTTCGAACAGCTGTTAATCTGGTCAGTATGGGTTTGTTGCTCGTGCTGTTAATTGCAGTTAGTATGTGCACACAAGAAGCTGAATGCGCGTTTGGCGACCCAATTGATGATAAAGTTGAAGATGTCCGATTTCGTAAAGTTGGACGTGCGTATGTAGATACTTTCAACATCGAAGACAACACAGTGGATCTTTCGATTGTAACCGAGGTATTTGGTGGTTTGAGATTATGCCTGTACTAGTATTACGGTTAAAGCAAGATTGGTGTATGATTCATTTTTAACGAAATCAAAATCAGATCAGTTTTTAGCATTTTGGAAATTTTTATAAACATTGGCTACAAAATGTATTAACCAATATTGAATAATTCTGTAAAAAAAAATTTCTACATTACTTACTTACAATACCCCAAATGTCTCTGACGCTCAAAGCATGATTTTCATTTTCTTCTGTATACATTAATGCAGCTTGGACTTTACAATAAATAAAATGTTGGTATTTGGTAATAGCAAAAAATACAGCTCTACTATTTCTGATTTGTTATTCCCAATACATTTCGCAATACATACGGTACATTTGTCTAATATGGCTCGTTTAACTTGTAAAATTTAAAAATATTAAGAATTTTGATTATACAAGTAAAATCAAATTTCTTGAGACATTGTTATACACAAATAATTGTATTATTTAACAGGATACGATCGGAGTTGATGAAATATGGGTGGTTGATTTTGAGCCGTATGATATTATTCCAAACTCGAATGTAATCGACAGTAATACCGGTGACGTCATTCCAGAAAATAGCGGCGAATGTTCGAACATTCTGAACGGGGGCACGTTTATACAAGATACATTCAGCAACGGAATTCTCTTCAATGACGACAATAATATCACGTAAGACAGATGCTAATGTTAACTGCCCTACCAATCTCCATTAAGGAATACTATGTTACAATGTAACGACACATCTAACATGGGTTTAACAACATTTTACAATTGTCGTTGTTCATAATTGATAAAAAAAAATTGTATTTGTAATTTTGTGATGTTTAAATACTCTTTCGATTTTTACAGTCCTATTCAATACACAGAAGCAGACTTGAAAACTTTGCCCAAGAAACTCTTCATGAGTTACTCCAGAGGAGGATTTGTCGATGTAGTAGACGTCTACAATGAAAACGTGACCAGACGAGAATATCAATTTGGATTTTCAGGTAACGCGTTGGCGAAAGCCAGCAAAGAACTATCGGGGATTGGTTGGTAAAAATCGCGTCACCAGTCAGATCGGTTGCTAGCAAGCTGTAGTCCTAACCATAACATGGTAGGGGTTTTAAATTCAACCAGTACCAGTTGTAGATTTCAACTATAATGTAGGACTGACCGTACGTCAATATTTCGATAGTTTTTCCTTCCAGATAACTTCCAGATTAAAGCAGGCATATTGTGCGGAATTCACTCGGTCTGTTTACTTGTTTCTCTTTGACAGCAAAACAAATAGAGTAGATTTAATTGGTAATATGAAATGCGGTACATTGCGTTTTAACCTAGTGAAGTAACGGTAACCAAAGAAGTTGAGAAACTACAGGAAACAAACGAACCAGACCGGTGCCTTTATTATTACTATATAGCGCGGACGGGGTAAAATTGCTCTCCGTGTACCCACAATACCTTTTAAACAGATGTTCAACTATATTGGGAAGCTGCTCTACCTTCTGCTATTTATTATCTTTGCGGTAACTTAATTTTGTACGATCAGTAGCAACTCCACACCGTAGGCCTGATGAGACTTGATGTTAGTTAGCATCTTGTGTGCATTTTTGGTCTTGTGCAGGGATTTTTCACTTGCTAAAACAAATAAGCTTTCATAAATCAGTATTTTGATTGATAATGTTAAATAAATATGGTTATTTCAGGGGATTTTGAGTTTTTCTTCAACTGTACAAACCGTCTTGGCAATAGTATTTGGAGTTACGATGGCTCGCAGAGGCTTATTGAATTCAAAGCAACAGTTTACTTTACGAATGTTAGACCGGTTGTAAATACTGATGGAACAAAGGTAGGTCGTAAGCCTACAACTGTGATTTCAGAAAATGGTGAAAAAGCAAAGTTCACCTAATATGTACTATATTTTAAAAAGCTCGTTGAATGTTTGTACTGTATACTATTTATTCTTGGTTTAACTTTGTTTTCCTTTTGTTTCTTCCAAAGGGCATGTCTTACGTATCTTCTAGTGCCAATTTGTATTACCGTATCTATCGAATCGCAATGGTTAACTTCATCCTCAGTTCGCAGCCTTTAGTTAAACCATCTATTGATTTCGTGATTATATCGCCGTATGTACCAGTAGAGGCAAGTTTACACACTACACTATATTTTCTTTTTTACATTTTATATTTTTCATATTTGATAATTCCTAAAGTGAAATGTCATTTAAATTTAGTGTTTCTGTTACCAACTGTTTAAAAATAGGGTCAAATGCCTGTCGCAAATGCTGCAAAGTTGGAAATACGCTTCCGAACCACAATCGAGTCCCCAACAGGGGAGCTGCTCATTTTTGAAGCAGATAGTATTGAATACGAGCCAGAAGACAACAATAACACGTTGAATGAAGACTTCGAAATTGCGTATCCTAGTGGTCCACAGCCATGCGATAAGTAAGTGGTATAGGCCCCATTGTTAAACCTAAATTTGTATTTATAAAAGTTAACATATTGATATTGATATAAATAAATAATTGTACGCTATTTTTAATGTTCTTCAGTGTTGGTACCTGTGAGCAGCTCTGGAATTTTGAGCTGGTTTTAGATGTTAAAGAAAAGGTTGTTGAAAACAACGAGCCAATTGACGCAACAGGAATATTCAGGTTTAAATTCAAGAAACATCAATGTTCGGATGCCACTACTTCGCCAACTGGCTGTGTCGATCTAAATGAACCGGTTTTGACTATTAGCATGGAAGTTACCATTCAGGTAAGGCTGAAAGTACAGCACATTGTGCAGGAACGTTAGCATGCGTTATTGTTATATAATACGTAAATATTGTCTTACAAAAAACCCCATCAAACTGTACGACGTTACTATACGCTATTACAACGTGTAAATTTGTAAATTATTGTTAGCTGGATTGTGTTGCTCCAAACAACTAACCACTTCAAAACTTCCTTGTCAGACCGTAGTTACCGTGGTAGATTCAGAAACTGACAAACCAAGACTTGTGATAGTCAGCCTCACTGGCTTCCAGAATGACAACCTGAGACTAACCAATGGAGGAGATGTACGTGGTGTAAATCATAGAGAGAGAGTTAAGTATAAAATCAGGTACGTTAAAGACTTCCAGATGCCTAATCTTTTATAAGGAACGGCGCGCTATTGGAAAGAAGCACCCAATGGCTACCAGTGGTGGATCCAGGAATTCGAAATAGTTGACCAAGGAGGGAATTTCACAGATGGATCTAGGCAACTTCAGCCCCACCATAGTTGGAAATGAGGCAAGACAATTGTTAACTAGTGACTGAAATGGTACTCTTTTCTCTTTCTAATATTGAAAAATGTAGGGGTCCTCCCCCACCTTGAACCCGCCACTGGCTACCATCAGTTCAGTAACTATGCTGTGTATTGATTATTACTGACATTGTTTAACTTATGTCCCCAGTTACACACCCGAATTCCTGTACAGCAAGTATGGACTTCGTCTCACTTTGTTTATGGTTTGCAAGGGCGTGTCTTTCGCTGATGAACCAGAAGTAAGACCATATCATCATCATATTTTGACATCACATAACATGTAACAGTTTTGTCAAAGGAAATTGGTAGTTTGGAATAACCACCGCCTATGTGAGCATAAATACAATCACTATAAATCCCTTGAAACATTCAGAAGTATTTGATAATACAGTAGTACAATAAACATTCATGATTAAAACCAATAATAACTACAATACGAAAAAAAAAAAATGTTACGATACATTTTTTAAAACAGTACTAAAGGAAAATACTAATTATAGATATTATATTAAATGCTTGCGGTACCCCACGTATATAGTTCTGAAAAGAACTACTTTTGTTTTTGAATAGAAAATTATTGCTTTTGTGCTTCTGTACTTATTTTAGGGTTGTTTAGCAGCCAACGTTGAGGATCGCTATATTGCATATTATCACGATGATTTCGAGTTTAGTTACTTATCAAATGTCAGTACGACAGTGAGTTACAATACTAATTCGCTGTCTGACGATCCATGGAGTCCATACGGTGACAACAGCACCCAACAGGAGCTCAGATTCAATGGGCCGGACCCAACCAATGAAGATATATATCGTATGGACTTCATCAACACTGCATTATCAATGGAACGAGAGTATTACGTCATCACAACAGTTTTCAAACTTGTACCAAAAGAGAATACTAGGAGGAGGAGAGGTTTATTGGACGGAGAGTTTGGAGGTGAAACGACGCTTATACTGAATGCTGTTCCAGCAAAACTAGATCACCATATTAAAACCCGCTCAATTGAAGATTCAATAGATGACCCAGCAGGTAAGAAAATTTTTTCAGATTTAAGGGTCTAGACAAACAATTATGAAAATCCAAATTTTAAAATTTGTTTTTAATCTATTTGTCCCATTTATCAAACTTTATAAATGGATATGCAATATACATATTTGAAATTCTAACTAAATTATTCTGCTGTTACTTTAGTATTACAGTAGTTTTAATTATTTCAAATTCCTAAAGCATAATAACCCACATTAGATTTTTACACTAGTTGATCCAGTTAGGAAGGAGCTACCTAGTCCTTATTGCAAACCTTGGTTCATAAATTAAGCACTTACCCTCTTGCAAAATTTAAATGGACCGGTTAATTTATTTTAATAACGTACAAGCAAAACACGTCAAAAACCACAATTCGTTGGGCGAAACAAACAAAAATTAGTTTTTACATATTAGACTCTAATATCGACTATTTTTCGTCAATTTAGCCCCTTTGATCATTTTTGACTCATTTAGGGAGACGGTTACACGCCCTCTTTGTTCTCGTCAGGGACATCATCCTCATCCTCACTCCCCCCCCCACCCCCTGTAAACTCATAAATATAAAAATTAGGCAGTTTAGATATGGAATTGAATCTTTCTACTTTCTTAGTATTTAAAATTACATGCAGTACTGCGTTTGCTTTACTTTGGATTTTTCCAGACATGAATGTACCATTTGAGTTTACTGGTTGTCCTGCAAATACACATTTCATTCTTGATGAACTTGAGTGCGAGTGTACGGAACAGCACCAGCAATACAGCGACTCGACGTTCCAATGTGAAAACACTTACTGGGTGGATGACATACTAGATGAAACTGAAGATACTACTGCAGCAGCATCATGCACATTTGTTCAAATATTAAGTCTAATATTACCCTATGTACTTTCTGTAATTATAATCGTGTAATTGAATTTGTAAAAATCAAATGTATTACTATACATTATACAGATTTGACATACAATGATTGTCACAAAAATATATAAACATTTATTTAGATGTGTATAAGAGACAGGATTGGAGATGGTCGATTCCATTTTCTTATGTGTACATGACTAC